ACGATTTTTTTTTTCCAAATTTGATAGAATTTGATAAAAAAAATTCTCTTTATCACATCTACAATTCACTTTAGACAGTGCCATACAATCCCAAAAATTATTCAACCCTACTTCACACAACACACAATGAAGCTTAATACTGCAAAAATAGTACATCCACAAATACTTGTCCAAATTCCCCCCTTTTCCGATTAAAGAAGCGTAATTTATTCGTCCATTAATATCACATGACATATCCCATGATCTCTCATTTCCCCCACACAAAATAATGCGTAATCGGAACTGAGTACTGCTCACATTATTACTAAAGTCCCAGGTAGTAACCTTTATCGCCTCCAAAATGTCGCCAAACTACCAGTTGCGATATTGTAAAGATCAACCAAATTATGCAAGCAATACAATGAGCCAGGATAGATTAAGCAATTTATCTCTAATAACAATAGAAAAAGAAATGTTACACTTATTACAGTCATAACCAGAGTTTTATGTTCATGTAATTGATGATTTTGTTAGTAATACGGATAGACATATAGATTTTGTGTACAAATGAATAATAAAAAGTTAAAGAAGTGTTTAATGTACATTTTTATGGCTTTATTATTCTTATTGTTGTTGCTCTCTGTACACCCTGCATGAAAACCTACCGCACGCCACTGCTTTTAACATAAAAAAAAAATAACAGAGAATTGCACAATCTATGCAGGGTAGGAATCTAGGAATTACGCACACCTGACTAAAAATAAATTAACATAACAACAATAAATTTCAAATAATACCATGTACACAGCATTCTGTTTTAACTTAAAAACACATCAGCGGATTGCACAATCTAGGCATCGCACACTGCCTCGGCATTGTGCATATTTCAACAAAATAAACTAAAATAAATTACAAATAATTCAAGAACAAAAATAATGATAGAAATTCATAGGAAAAAAAAAACAATGAACATAAATAATATTTTACTAATATTTAATATTTAGCACTAGTTATCGAGCAACGTCTCAGCTGCCACTGAAATTGCCAAAAGAACCTAATAATCAGAAAGAGAAAGTGTTTTCCCCGGGGAATTACTTTTAACCTCAGGCGATCAAAAAAAAAAAAAAAAAGACAAAACTTGGCCTTTTGTGGTTTCAGTAACAAGTTATTTGAAAGAAATAATGATTTTTTTTAAGTGTATAGAAATGATCACAAAATTTGACCCTATGATGTCTGTATGTATTAATAAAATTCAAACTTAAAAAAATATGCTTCATTACTTTGAAGATAAAATTCAAAATGAAACAATTAGCTTATTAGGGAGATAATATAAAGCAAATTAATTTAAGTAATGTCAAACAGGCAAAGTATTTTTCTATTTTACTTGATTTTACCGCTGATGCCAGCCATCAAGAGCAGATATTAATTTGTATCAGGTATCTTAATTTAGAAAATACAGACATGAGTACTGAAGAAAGGTTTTAGTATTTTGGTGTTAGAATTGATATGACCGCTGAAGAATGAACAGCATTCTTATTAAAGAATTTAGTGAAAAATGGTTTAGATATTAGTAATTTAAGCAGGCAAAATTATGATAATGGTTCAAATAGGACAGGTAAACAGTTTTCGAGTAATTATGCTCAAATCGAGGCTTTTCTGAATTAAAAAGTTAACCTGAGTTTAACATAATACGTAACTGCACTCACTCTTTTCTGTGTAGAAAAATAATAACAATGCACAATCACAAAAAAGATAAATGTTGCATACATTACTACTATTGCAATAGTAGACACAAAATAAGGATTAAGCAATCTGTCAAATGCGTCTACCCTTACATATGCATTGGTATCACATATTTTCACGTTTAAATAAGACAGAAGAGAACCCACAGACGAACTATTGCCCTGGTTATAACTTCCGGTCAAATAAGACAATATGCTAGGAGGAAGAGGCACTCAGACCTGGCAGTCTGGAGGCTGCCTTAACGCAGTTAAAACCCCAATCCCTAGAGGCAATCCAAGAGGCTGCTAACCTATCGGATGAGCTAAGACTAAGCTGAGGTGACAGGAACACTCAGCAACTCACATTACACATCCCCATTCTGGAAAGATGTTAAAAACATCTGCCATCAACAGGGGCCCCAAACCCGAACAGCAGAACATAGTCACTTACACATTGTCAGACAGAATGGGCCACTAATCTTGCCTGCTAACACTACGCCATGGTATACAGATGTTGGCTTTAAGCACCCCCAGGGGAAACCTATATTAACGACTTTTGACTGTACACAGTGATCTGTTTTGGTGTAAAAGAACACAGTGGATGCTGTGAGTTAGGTTCGTGCAGTACTTGGCTATCGAGGAAAAACATTTCCTTTAGAGAACAAACTTCCATTTAGAGAATTTTCAGCAAAATTCTGTGTTCTTGCTGTCATTTGCACACAAATTCCAAAGGCCATATTTTAAAATTAAGGCGAAAAGTACAACAATTTGTTTATAGAAACTGTTGATTACAACAAAAAAGAATGCACACAGAATGGCAAAGTTGCTCGATTGAAGGATTGTTGGAAGATTGGTTGCAAGCATATTTGCCAGAAATTCACATATACAGTAGAATTCCAGAAATATGCAAAGCGTGGGATCAGAGGATGTGTGGATTTTACGACAGAAAAAATAAAGCATAATATTCAGACTAAAAGTGCAAAATGAATAAGGCGTATTAAATACATTTACTTAAATTATTATATACATTATTGCAATAATTTATTACATGCATTAAATTATTATTACCTATATAAATTGATTATATTATTCATTATATTATAAGTACACAGCATCGAGGTTTGCCGATTTCGCTTCATGCAAAGATTTCTAGTTTTGGATTCAGGTGTTAGAATCATTATTGCTGTAAAATTTCAACAGCATTTCTTTATTTTTGCCTATATCATACACAATCGTGCCACAATTCCATACCATTCTGCTATAAATTGAGGAGTAGCACAAGCTTCCATCTTTTGCAGAATTTGCACTTTTTGCGTTACCGTCAATGCAACGTGTTTACGTATTTCAACGTTGCAAGCAGTAAAATCACAAGTGCGTTTCTTATCTGTCATTGTATTAAAAAGGGCTGAAATTTAAAATATTCTTAATTTATCCACAAAATATCTGGATAATAAAAAGGCAGCACTAAACAATCTCGTGAAATGAAATAACAAAGCTCAGAAAATACGACAATGTGAATCGTGAACTTGAACAAAAAAGAGTTGAGTGAATCATCTGCTTTTTTACCTCGATGCAGATTAGAGGGAAAAAAACTTATTTATTTTATCTAATTTTTTTTAAAACTTTTTTCTGTCAAAATTTGGTATTTCTGTTTTGACTCATTATTATTTGGTAATTATGATGTCATTATTCGGTAAGTATTTTTTCTTCGATATTTCATACTCAATATTGCGTTTCCCGGAACCTATAAACTGAATGTTTATATTCTGAGGGGCAACGCGGATTTCCGGAGTTGGCGGATTTTCGGTATTTGACTGTAATTAAAATATGGCAACTTTTATTACAGTAGTGGCATTAACATGCAAGTACCGAAAAACAACCTTAGTTTTCCAAGAAATTTCAATTTCGTTCAAAAACACTACAAGTTGTATACTGGCTGTGCTGTGTCATCAAGAACTTGATCCATAATCACTGTTGTTAACATAGGATACTTTCAAAAATCTAAAGTCTAAGCAATCTTAGCATCAAAAAGGCAGTTCAAGAGGTTAATGAAGAGAAAAATACATAAATCTTATAGTACTAAAGATACCACAAAAGAATATACTTTTCATTTCGTACTTTTTACAAAAATGAAGAGAAAAGTGCATTACAGTGTAAATGAAATTTTCATTCCAGTTAAAATGTTCAATGCTTCAAACTTTTAAAACAGTTCAAATGATTACTACATGGATGGGATGAATGTGATATTCATTGAATTAGTACTCGACTCAGAATAGTATAATCAGTCTCTACATTTTCACTGTGCAAATATGAGGATCTTTCATTACTAGTTAAATACCAAGAAGAAGAAAATGTTGCTTTAGAAATACTTTAAAATGACTTCACTTTTTTTGTCAACAAGTTTTTCTCTTGCGGAAACAAATACATGATTTATTAAGAATTTAGATGAAATGACAAGTTAAACATGTATCATTACAAAGATATTTCGGTTTAATCCCAGTATTCGGTGCACACGGGACTTGGCTACTTTATGATGAGCAGTAAAAACGGGACATATACGATGAAATAGTAAATGGGTCATTCAAAGAATATACAGTCAAAAGTCTTTAATCCGGACTCGTTGGGACTTCGGCGATTCCGGATTATCGATCATCAGTTTAAATCTGGTAAGATGGCATGCAGAAATTATAAAATTAAAAATATGAAACTGTAATTTATGAAATAAGGAGCAATTATGATCTAAAGGGTATCAAAATTTACAAAAAAAAAAAAACCTTTATATTTATTTGTTTACTTTATTAAACATTTCTTTCAACCCACGCATGTGTAAAGCATACATTACGCATAGTCGAAATTAGAAAATTGCAACCAGAAAACTGTTTCATGTGTATTAGTGATATTTATAATGACGAGGAAGTTGATTTAAATCATATCATAGACAGAGTACATCAAGATGAAATACTATGTACATTTAGTACGGAATTATAAGCTAAATAAAATAAAAACATCTGCTCTGAAGATAAGGACAGTGCTGACAGATCAACTTTCAGTTCATTGCGCACTGCCACGTTCCCTTCCCGCCCCCCCCCCACAGAGCAGCATGAAATTGATAAACAGATTTCAGAATGGTTAGAGAAACAAAGGATATGCCTTTATCCATTTTTTGCAGCAATTCCACTTTTGTTTGATGGACATCGACACATACTTTCGCTTTGTAGATCTTTCTGCAGTTCCAGCATCGGAAATTCTATTTGATAAAATCGAAAGTTCAAGCTTACTTTTATAAAATTGCTCTAACAGTCTGCAAAAAATAATAAACCAGATCCAATTATAAGATTAAGGAACAACACAATCTGCAACATTAAATGAAATAGATAATTAGATAATTTTAGCTTAGCTCATACCGTCCGTTATACATTAAACGGGCATGCGTTAACGCCTATTCGTGTGCGTGAACACATTATGCGTTGATGCATGCGCAGAAAATTTGTAGTTTTGAGGTCCAGATTATAGATCATTCCGGATTATGGGTGTTCGGATTAACGACTTTTGACTGTATATAAGTTATACATAGACATTCTTTGGGTCATTTCTGGTGTTGCATTAACTTTCAAAATCACGCAGAGGCTGCACCGTATACTAGGATTTTACCGATATTTCTTTATAGCAGGAACAATACATTGCTGCACAGATAAGTAAAAGTTCTTAGTAATCAAACCTTTCCATATAAGACACTGGCCTTCTGTTAGCTGCAGGCATGCATCTTTCATTTTTTCTGTCATATAAGTGATTTGTTACACATGTAAATCATGGAGTTTCTCTCTAGCAACAAAAAGTATAATCTTTTTTAAATTAGAATTTTTAGTAAATGAATTATTACATACCTCAGAAACATGAGGTTTCTTCCCCATGTGAATAAGCATATAACTTAACTTATCCTTGCACCTAAATGACTTATTACATATCTTACAGATGTAAGGTTTCACTTCTGTGTGAATAAGTGAATGCTTTTTAAAAATAAATTTTAAATGACTTATTACATATCTCACAAACATGACATTTCTCTCCTGCATGAATAAGGATATGGTTGTTTAAATTAAATTCAGCAAACGACTCATTTTATACCTCACAAACATAAGGTTTCTTTCTTGTGTGAATAAGTACATGTTTGTTAAGAATACCTTTCAGAGCAAATGACTTATTATATATCTCACATACATGAGGATTTTCTCCTGTATGAATAAGCATATGGCTTTTTAAACGACACTTTTGACCGAATGACTTGTTACATACCTCGCACACATGAGGCTTCTTTCCTGTGTGGATAAACATATGGCTTTTAAAGTGACATTTTTGAGTAAATGAATTATTACATATCTCGCACACATGAGGTTTCTCTCCTGTGTGAATAAGTACATGTTTGTTTAAATCACCTCTTTGAGTAAATGACTTATTACATATCTCACACAAATGAGGTTTCTTTCCTGTGTGATAAAGCATATGGGTTTTTAAACAACTCTTTTGACCAAACGACTTGTTACATACCTCACATATATAAGGTTTCTCCCCTGTGTGATTAAGCATATGGTCATGTAAACGATTCTTTCGAACAAATGACTTATTACATATCTCACACACATGAGGTTTCTCTCCAGTGTGAGTAAGTAGATGTCTTTTTAAACTAGACTTTAAAGTAAATGACTTATTACATATGTCACAAACATGAGATTTCTCTCCTGTGTGAATAAGTATATGATTGTTTAAACGACTTTTTTGAAGAAATGACTTATTACATATCTCACACACATAAGGTTTCTCTCCAGTGTGAGTAAGTAAATGTCTTTTCAAAATACATTTTAGAGTAAAGGACTTATTACATATCTCACAAACATGAGATTTCTCTCCTGTATGAATAAGTATATGATTGTTTAAATTGCGTTTGCCGGCAAATGACTTATTACATATCTCACAAATATGAGGTTTCTCTCCTGTGTGAATAAGTACATGTTTGTTTAAATCACCTTTTTGAGCAAATGACTTATTACATATCTCACACAGATGAGGTTTCTCGCCTGTGTGAATACGCATGTGACTGTTTAAATCACCTTTTCGAGTAAATGAATTATTACATATCTCACACACATGAGGTTTCTTTCCTGTGTGAATAAGCATATGTCTGTTTAAATCATAGTTTTGAGCAAATGACTTGTTACATACCTCACACACATGAGGTTTCTCTTCTGGGTGAAAGAGTATATGGTTGTTTAAATGACCTTTTTGAGTAAAAGACTTGTTAAATACCTCACACACATGAGGTTTCTTTCCTGCATGAATAAGCATGTGTATGTTTAAAATGCTCTTTCGTCCAAATGAATTCTTACAAGCCTTACACACAATTTTCTTCTCTGGTATGTACATGCAGATGTTTGTCTAAAATACCATACTGTCTAAATGACTTCTTGCATACCTGAGACAAGAGGTTTGTTTCCTGTGTCAAAAACTATATAATTGTTTAAATAACTCTATTATTCTAAATGAGTTGTTACACGCGGCATACACATGATAAATACATAGAATATTTGTCAAGCATATGGACTTTGAAACTTGAGATGTCGGCAAATGATGTATTACATACCTCACATTATGATTACATCATATCCTGCAATAAGAAGCAAATGCAGATTCATTTCATGCTTCTGTCTAAATGAGGTTTACATACCTCGAATGCAGGAGGTATTTTTGTTCGGTAATTCGAGCTCTTTTAAGAAGTTTCTTTCTCCGCATTACATTTTCTAATATACCTTGTACTCATATATAGTGGAAAACCTCTGAGGGTCACTTGGGAAATATAAGATAGCACTGAAGGCTTATACATGGCATTTTGCGAGATATTAAAATTTCAGGATAGAAGGTGGAATGATCAGAGTTAAGTAAAGTAGATGGTGCATGTATTGGCTTCTGACACCAAATTAATCATTATAATTAGAACTCCGTTTTCTTCAAATAACGTTAATCCACATTTTAAATCAAAATAATCTTTATTGAATATTTTAACAACCGTAAACAATTTTTCGAACAACAAAACTGAATAATATTTTTGTTGCCATTCCGAAAAGACAAGACAAAGTAGACAGATGTCTTGTTTTGCATCCGCTAAGTCTTTCTGCCCCGATGGGCGAAAAATCCAACGAGATAATATACTGGTAGAGAGCGTATTGCAACCTTCAACCGGTTCCAACATTAGTGTCACGTGACTGCTGCGCGAATTCCGAAAGTGCGGAAATACTTTACATTGCTTTCTATGGGACGAAAGACTGCTGCTCTGCTTGGTCACATAAAATTTAAGTAAAAAATGGTTATTCCGCTGCAGCGCCTACGGATGTAAAGAAGTTTCCTGAAAGGAGGACTTGTAACCTTTCATAGGTAAGTTAAAACTGCATGATTTATTATTTTATTTTCAGTATTTTTGTCATTTTACTATCTCTGTTGAATTGGTTTGGAAAGTTTCAGCCATACTGTATAAGAAAGTTGCCGCCGTATATGACATTTTCAGCATGTATTATTAGCATCAAAATGTATTAAATACTGTGACACTATTTACTGGAATCACCCTTTACAAATAATTGAATTTTATATGTTTTTCCGTGTATTCCGTTGAAATAGAAAGCTGCGCCAATTGGCGTTAACATTTTTTCGCCAAGTCGTACGCGTTTTGATTTCATAAACAATTACTGCCTGCGATAAAAAAAAAGAAAAACGCTATTATTAGCATTAAATTATTGAGAAAAGATTGTGTGATATGTTTACTTTGTTAAAAAAAAAAGCATCTTGATTCATGCAACATTGAACATAAACAGTTGAACAGCATTATTTTAAAAATCAGATTACTTTTATAAAGCTCAATGCTTTATCATTATTTTCTATAAAATCAATTAAAATAAAAATAATCTGGATTATAATTCTGTCTCATCTACGATGCTGTTAGAAATTTATTGTAATTGAAAAAATGCGACGTGAAAAACTTACCATATTTTAAATAGTATTTAAAAAAAAAAGGAGAGAGAGAGAATTTTTAACTGTAATATCGTTTTGATCCTAATAATAAATACTGAGTTGAAGTTTGTTACCGTTTGATACATATTCAATATAAAATAATTTTATAGGTAATAAGATGTATTGATCCCCCCCATGACATACACATGAGTGTGGAAATCAGTAATTAAGATTGCATTATTTTGTTCCAGTAATATAATCTCAAGAAAAGAAAGGCAATCAATGGCATAAATACATATAATACAATGTGATTTTTTTTTCTCTTTAGGATGCAATGCATTAAAATTAAACGAGATTTTTTTTACCTTCTCAAATATTATAACAGTAGTGCAATTAATTTTTAACGTTATTCAAAATTAAAGTTTCCATCTCAATTTTTTATTATTTATTTTAGATTTTCTTCCTAAAATTATTTAACATAAACATCTTAAACAATGGTGCAAATAATTTAAAGCAATTATTAAAAATATAGATAAAATATTCAGGAAAAAAGGGGTTAAGTTATATCTAAGATATACTTGTAAAAAAAATCGAACAACCTAATTCGAGGCCGTTGTCTGCTGACAGCTAGCAGACGGAAATAAAAAGTGTTACCTGCCATATCAAAAGCGGGCCAAACTGGCGATGAACAGCCTAAGCTATCACTCCCCAAGAGCGCCAACAGCATTAGTCACGTGGTGTATGTTGGAGACACCCTAGCAGACGAATTCTCTGTGGGTGAGCCGTCTACCTGTTATATGAAGTCGTTGGAAAAATCAAGCTTTTTTCGCTTAAGCTCTTATATGGCCGATGCTCCTACATGGCCGACGCTATTAAGCTTAAGCTCCTGCCGGTGCTATCCGCACCACCGGTGCGATTAGCCGCTTAGCTATTCGCACCAACATTAACTACGCATGCGCATTGACTTGTCAGATCCGTCAATTGAACCCCATCGAGAAGAACGGATTCTACGTACGCGAACTGTTGCAGTGAATCTTTTTTTTTTTTTTTTTAAAGTGGGTGTCTACCTCGGCGTAGTTTATCAATTTTTAAGCGTTGACGACTTTCAAAAGTTTAGAAAGGAAAATGGGTTCCTTTTCTTATAAAAAGAATGAACACATTTCCTTTTATTAATGTATGTATTAAAAAGGGTAGATTTTTATGTTCGCAATGTTTATCCTTTTCCTGAACGGTTTGAATAGTTTAAATGTCTGATTTGGGGGAGGCGGAGAAAATCTTGTTTACATTTTTTGTACTTCTTAGAATACATTTAGCTTTAAAGATGTGTTTTGCAACAATCAAAACTTCAATTCATTTCTCTTTGAAAAATTTCGTCCGATAAAAGATGCTAAAAATTAGACAGAGGATTTCCGTGTAGAAAATTTAGACATGAAATAAGTTAAAAGTGATTATATCAACTATTAAATGAATAATTAACCATATAATACTGGTTATTAACAATTTTGCCTTGCTGTATTGTTTTTTTTTATGGAAATACTTGGCATTTTCAGGGCAAACAAAAAGTATGCTTCAAAGAACTTTGAAATATTAGTACAAACATATTAATCAAATTAAATTGAAATAAATAATGGGATGTAATTTAAAAGACAGAAATTAATTTAATGTAAGAGATTTAGATTTAAAAATTTGCACACACAAATGATTTATCAGATTTCATAAGGTTTTATTTCATAAATAACTTCTGATTTTGAAATATGGTATTTGAACCTATAAACCTGTGTGGATACTGAAAAAGTGATGATATTTACTAACTGAAACTTACTGTATCATTTTCAGTAAGCTTTCTTCATTGATCAATAACTTACTGACAAATCCTATGCTATAAAAATAGGGTCTAAGTTTGCATAAAAATTCCTCTGTTAAATAAAAGAATTTAGGTAATTTCCGTAGCCTTTTTGTCAATACACTAAAGATTTTTTGACTAATTACTCGTCCTAGCTTGCAATTAGAACCATCATTAAATCCCTATTTTATCTAATAATTTCCTGAACATTATCATGTATATAGATTGATCTCGTCTTTGTAACTGATAATTATTACTTGCAAATTATTCTCTTGCTGGTGAACTATTAACAACATTCGCTCTCACGGAAATCGCCTTACGGAAATCGGCGTAAAATGCTGGTACCTGGGCTGATTTTGCGCATGCGCGAAAGTAGGGGGTGTGAATAGCCTGTTAGCTATTCGCACCGTCGGTGCGATTAGCCACTGCGCTCCTACATACAGGTACTGGCTTATGTAGAGGGTACTGGCTTAAGTGCGAAGGAAAGGTATATAGAAAGGGGGCAATTTCGTATTTCAGAGAAGAGTAAAAGGAACTTCGTAAATTTTGTACGAGTTCGAAAGGCCAGGAAGAAAAGATGGGACAAAATAAAATTTAAAATAAATGGATCAAAAAATAATAGAGGGAAAAGAAGGGAGAAAGAAAAGGAAAAGAAGTAGAGAATATCCTAAAAATACGATTGTGTCCATGAGCGTAGTTAAAAGGAGAAGCTGACTTCATTTACAATAAATAGTGTCTCACAGGTGTGTATGTGTGTGTGTACAGTGAGTGCGTTTGCTAATGCTGAAAAGATGTGATGCTGGGGGGGGGAAAGGTGACAGTGTGAAAATGCTGCGTATCAAGGTATTTAGCATGGAATACAAAGTAATGTGTATGCTTGCATCCTGAGATAGAACAGTAAAAGACCCATAACATCAGACAAAAGTATATATTAATTTAACTAAACTTATGCTATTTTCGTACCCAACATTTTCATACATTTTTCAAAACACAGCAGCAGACAAAGAGCATAGAACCATACACAATACAAGACGACAACCGCACACACAAAATTAATAATCTTTGCTTGATAAGCAAACAGCAAAAATAATAATATTTTCCGAATACGTATCCCGATGTGCTGCTACGGATAATCCCTTAGCAGGGAAAAAGTATCACGCTGTCCTCCTAGAAGAAGTACGTCATCGGATGACAACCATAACGTGGTCTACCATAATAAGCTGTTTCTCCCCGTTTTGGCGTTAAGCCTGTTCTCCGAACCCTGTTACATTTTAGAGAAAATTTGGTACTATTCCTTTTCGAGGATCGTAAAAAAATTGCAGCGAAAATATATGCGCAACAGCGCCAAATCTAGCACACGCGCCCATTTAACAGCGCGCCAAATCTAGCGTACGTGCTGATTTCAGATTGTCTAAGTTTATATAGTTTTATATTTCTTATGACACCATTGAAATACTAGTTTAATTTTTAAATCCTTTTTCGATTTTAAATTCTTTTTTGATATCCTATGGATTTAACAATTTGGGAATTGCCCAATTCGAAAAGTGTGCAATAGAATTTTGGGTAATGTGCAGAATCACCCACTACTTGACACGTATTTAAGAAGTGCACATATTCGGCACATACACATCGACCTATTTTCACTTCAAAAAAAAAAAAAACTCAGAATTGCACAAAAATGGCATTGCGCACACCCTTGACTTTATCTATGTATACATCGACCTATTTTCACTTAAAATGTAAAAGAAAATTGACAAAAATCCAATTGTTTTTACCCTTGTAAAAAGCGGCAAACAAATAAGAGGGCGATTCTGCACTTTACCGAGAATTTTTTCAAAGAAAAGGCATAATTCATTATAGAAAATTATGTTTCAGCAACCGAGATGAAATTGTGCTTTAGTGATAACTTGTAGCGAAATAGCGGTGCAGGCATCCATTCAGTTATGTTTAGCAAATTTTATATAAGTTATAATAATGATCTGAAATAGTTATTTACTCTTATGATTCCATTCAGTCATGTTTACCCTTTTTTATATAAATTATAATAATAAAAAAGTATTTTATGAAATTAACCTTTATTCTAAATTAGAACATCTATCTTAGATTGTTATTTACTATTATACTTCCTTTCTTGCGTTAGGGTTGCCGCAATTATTTTTGGCAGCACTGGCATCAACAATAGTTTGACGATTTTTTACAGCCCTCAAAACCGAAAATTTTAATACAGTGAAGTATCAAGATATTTTTTTGTCCATTTTGTACAAATATCACTGAAGGAGCT